TTGCAAGCTAAAGCTGTCCAGTGCATAATTGCGACGAGCGGAAAATTTAGATTAAAGCATTCACACAATCACTGTAACAATACTTGATTAAGTCAGCACAACCTTGAAGTCTGAGCTTCCAATTTTGATACATTAACCGCGGCCTAAGCAACTTTGATCTGATACATTGTTGTATACTGACCTGAGCGATATCGATTCCATTGATTACATGGAAAACTTTACACAACTCGCTTGATCGCCTGCCTATGAAGCTGTTGCTTTTAGATAGGCTTGAAATTATAGTACACAGCTTCTTTGTCGTTACATTTCTGACTTATTAAGCTACACCAAGATTTGATCTATTTGTTTGCTATTGCTGTGATCGGCACCAAGCAAAGCGCTTTGATGAACGTCATATTACATTGCGTTAGTTTTCGAATGCATCCAATGTGAAGTCACTAAATGCTTCCTTATGATAACAAACACCCCTAGCATAGATTGTTTGTTAATATCATTGAGTCTGTCTTTTTCTGACGAATTCGAAACGGTGGCTCCAACGTTGGAGTTAAACGACTTGTTGCAGTGTGAAACAAATGTGGCGCACTCGACGCAGCATTGCAGACCGCGAGGCATTGTCACTTGTAGTGCACGGACCTGAGTACCGCAATGGCGAATTGCTTGTACTAAACCCAGACCTTTTCCCAGACATACAGTTATATGACTTGGTAGAAATCCAACAGCCTGAGCGTACACATCCACGTCTAGTACTTTCAGTCGAGTCGCTTGCACCTGTGCGTGGGAAGTTGCACGTTAGCGTTGCGAAAGACATTGCGGCGCAGTTTGGACTTGAAGCATTTCGCGTAGTCACCGTGCGGCGTGTAGACCCACGTGATGTGAGTGTAGATTTTGTTGAGTTAAGTTTCAAGGACCAATTTTTATCTCGAGCTGATATCTGGCGCTTTAAAGTAACGATGCTTGGTCAGTGTGTCTACGTTGGTAGAACAGTTGAATGTCTAGGAATACGCTCACAGGTGGATGCCATTTCGGCCAGTAACACTCAACTACACTGTGGAGTGATTGGAGATGCCACGAAGATTGTTGTACGCTCACGCTCTAGTCGTCTTTTTTGGCTTGTTCAGATGAGTACAGAGATGTGGGAGTTTGCACCTGATGGAGAACTTTACTACGAAAAGTTGCTGCATCGTTTATTAAGCGTCTTGATTGCTAAGTGGAGTGAGAGTTTTGTGAGTCACTCGGTGACAGTAATTACCTTTTCCAGAAGCTTTTACGACTCGAATCAGTTTCCTGATGGTTTTGATCCTAGGAAAACGCCATTTTCGGACCCTCGAAGACAAGGATTTGGACCAGGGTGCGGTGCACCTGGAATTAATATGGCCAACGGATATGGCCCTACTATCCACGTTGATCCAATCTCGGGGCGCTACTATGAGGATTTTTACAAGGTCGTCGTGATGAATTTTACTGGACCAGACTGGAATCGGTTGCTGTTATTACTTAAGAAAGAATTTGTGAGCTATTACAAGACGCATCGATGGCGCACGCCTGAAGAATTATCATTCGCTGCATATGAAATTTGTAATTGTTCTACTTCAGACCATAATGTCAAGAAAGAAGATGGCGATCCACAGTTAAATAACGTCGATGATTGTAAAGAGAGCGATTTATACGTGAAGTGGACAAAATTGCCGTCTGGGGTCCCGTCGCGAGCTAGGGAAGGGAATTTCTTAGAAGCGATCAACGTGACATTAAATGTGTTAGATAAGCATTACATGGACCGTGACTTGAGTCGCACAGGACAGGGAATTGTCATGTTGACGGCTGGGTGCAGCATCTATAATGTCAATCGCAAACTTGCCGAGATTACAGAGCAGCGCATGATGGACAATGGAGTGGGCATGGACATGATTTCTTTAATGACCCCACCTCTGCATGTTGTTCCGTTATTTATTTACACTGATGTACCATCAATGACGAACCTCGCAACTTGTGCCCCAGAAACGTCAAACATTTTCCGCAATTTCTCATTTAGTGATGTCACTGGTGCAATTGAAGAGTCGAAGTCGCTAGAAAACTTATCTTCGCTACATAGCATGCCAAATTCAATGTCAACACACAAGATTCCTGAATGGGCGAAAGTTGGTACTGAAAATTCTCAATACCTAACAAAATCAGCAAAGGTTGAGGCCGAAGAAGTTGAGCCAAAAAACAATGTATCATACGGCGTTCCCCATTGGGTCAACATCACATTTTTAAACTTTGGATGCAGCTGTGGTAAGGAATTTGATAGCCCAATTCAAGCTGGTGTTTCTCCATCCTTTAGTCCATGCCAAGGTGCACAACGAAATGCACGTGGATGCGAGTGTCAAGTCAAGCGCAATCAACAGTTTGACCCTTTACCATCATTTCGTATGTTTGACGTGACCTCACCATCCGAAAAGTTTGTCTTTCCCGTGACACTGAGAAAATTGCTTTGCAGAGATATCAGTTTTGGTCAGAGCGCCACACCCAATTGCCATAAGCAAGACGATGAGGTTTGCAACAATGGCAGTGAAAATGTAATTGCTGACAGCTGCTTATCGCTTAGTACTAGTGCTGCGAATCCAGATCGACTACTCTTTGCGAAAAGTGAGCTTCTAGACTTGTCATCGTCAGCACCACCACGGGAACAATTGCAACTTAGTCGCTCTCCGGATTTTGATCCGGTTCTTGCGTCGAGCCAAATACGCACTGCTACGAATCTAACCTCAAGTCTTCATGCTCGAGCAGCATTTGAAGAATACGA